TTCTTCCTATGTAATGAAATTCATGATTCTTTCCTCCAAATTACACCAGTTAAGCACATTCCTTCATACCACTTTTATTATTCATTTCTCAGATTTTTTCTTGTTGTTTTTTTAATATTCCTGTATCTTTGCAAGTTCAGCTAAAACAGACAATAGTGGCCCAGTTGCAGAAGTCGAGTGGGGCCAAGTTAGACATGATTTTGTTGGGATTTTTAACCATGAGGGTTAGTCACCCAAGATAACCCAAGAAAGTCGGTGCATCATCGAGGACTGTCTTATTTTCACTGGGGTCCTTCAATCTCGTTCCTCAGGATGCAACCCATACCAGTCAGCTAACACCTACCTACTTGTTAGGTGAACGAAGACAGCAGGTGTAAGGAAACGCGCTCCATGTTTCCACCCAACCGGAGATTGAACCATGGTCATTCAGTGTGTGAAGCAAGAGCAATGCCTACCAGGCCCCAGATTTCTCAAGCTGTTTGCTAATCACCCTCTTCACTCTTTGCTAAGTTATAACAGTGTAATATTTAATTAAATTGCATAAGTTTATACAACATGCACAGATATAGAAATTGGCCTTAGAGGTTTCCCTACTTGGAATTTGCAATTTTTGGCTGCCTCTGATTTCTTTCAGTACACAAGTGTTAAATATTAAAATTACCTAATCTCTCTTAAATCAGTACATCAATATTAAAACTGCCCATATAAAACAAAAAAGTAGGTGATGTGGAGTGAACAGCAGCAGCAGCAGGTGAGGTGGTGTGAACAGCAGCAGCAGGCGAGTGTGAGCAGTAGCAGCAGCAGCAGCAGCAGCAGCAGCAGCAGCAGCAGGTGAGGTGGTGTGAGCAGCAGCAGCAGATGAGGTGGTGTGAGCAGCAGCAGCAGCAGATGAGGTGGTGTGAGCAGCAGCAGATGAGGTGGTGTGAGCAGCAGCAGTAGCAGCAGCAGATGAGGTGGTGTGAGCAGCAGCAGCAGATGAGGTGGTGTGAGCAGCAGCAGCAGCAGAGGTGGTGGTGTGAGCAGCAGCAGCAGATGAGGTGGTGTGAGCAGCAGCAGCAGAGGTAGAGTGAGCAGTAGCAGCATGTGGGGTGGTGTGAGCAGCAGTAGCATGTGGGGGTGGTGTGAGCAGCAGCAGGTGAGTAGCAGCAGCAGAGTGGGGAGGAGTAGTAGCAGCAGCAGCAGAGTGGGGAGGAGTAGTAGCAGCAGCAGAGTGAGGAGCAGCAGCAGCAGCAGCAGCAGAGTGGGGAGGAGTAACAGCAGCAGGTGAATAGGGAGAAGCAGCAGCAGCAGGTGAGGGAGTGGGTAGGAGCAGCAGCAGGTGAGGGAGTGGGTAGGAGCAGCAGCAGGTGAGGGAGTGGGTAGGAGCAGCAGCAGGTGAGGGAGTGGGTAGGAGCAGCAGCAGGTGAGGGAGTGGGTAGGCGCAGCAGCAGGTGAGGGAGTGGGTAGGAGCAGCAGCAGGTGAGAGAGTGGGTAGGAGCAGCAACAGGTGAGGGAGTGGGGAGGAGCAGCAACAGGTGAGGGAGTGCAGAGGAGCAGCAGGTGAGGGAGCAGGGAGGAGCAGCAACAGGTGAGGGAGTGGGGATTAGCAGAAGCAAGTGAGGGAATGGGGATTAGCAGCAGCAGCAGGTGAGGGAGTGGGGAGGAGCAGCAGCACGTGAGGGAGTGGGGAGGAGTAGCAGCGCACGAGGGAGTGGGGAGCAGCAGGTGAGGGTGCAAGGAGCAGCATCAGCAGGCGAGGGTGTGAGGAGCAGCATCAGCAAGTGAGGGTATGAGGAGCAGCATCAGCAGATGAAGGTGTGAGGAGCAGCAGCAGATGAGGGTGAGTAGTAGTAGTAGGTGAGGGTGCGATAAGCAGCATCAGCACGTGAGGGTGCAAGGAGCAGCAGCAGCAGGTGGTGATGGCATGAGCAGCAGCAGCAGGTGGTGATGGCATGAGCAGCAGCAGCAGGTGGTGAGGGCATGAGCAGCAGCAGCAAGTGGTGAGGGCATGAGCAGCAGCAGCAGGTGGTGAGGGCATGAGCAGCAGCAGCAGGTGGTGAGGGCATGAGCAGCAGCAGCAGGTGGTGAGGGCATGAGCAGCAGCAGCAGGTGGTGAGGGCATGAGCAGCAGCAGGTGGTGAGGGCATGAGCAGCAGCAGCAGGTGGTGAGGGCATGAGCAGCAGCAGCAGCAGGTGGTGAGGGCATGAGCAGCAGCAGCAGCAGGTGGTGAGGGCATGAGCAGCAGCAGCAGCAGCAGCAGGTGGTGAGGGCATGAGCAGCAGCAGCAGCAGGTGGTGAGGGCATGAGCAGCAGGTGGTGAGGGCATGAGCAGCAGCAGCAGCAGCAGGTGGTGAGGGCATGAGCAGCAGCAGCAGCAGCAGGTGGTGAGGGCATGAGCAGCAGCAGCAGCAGGTGGTGAGGGCATGAGCAGCAGCAGCAGGTGGTGAGGGCATGAGCAGCAGCAGCAGGTGGTAAGGGCATGAGCAGCAGCAGCAGGTGGTAAGGGCATGAGCAGCAGCAACAGGTGGTGAGGGCATGAGCACCAACAGCATAGGTGGAAATACACAAGTACTCAAAAACGAAAATAGGGAGCTAATTAATTAAGCAACACGTTACCAAAATATTTTGGTACAGATTTATAACTTGCAGCATAACCCGTTGTGATTAATTTTTTTTACTTGCTTTCAGTACAAATTATGGATTTTAGCATTGCAATTCTTGAACTCTGCAGCAAAAGCAGAACAGGAATTCCAAATTTCAAGGTGGGAACTATTGTACTGTGTTTGCATGACATTAGCATAAGAAGCACGGGTGATGGTTCACGATTGCATCTATGACCTGTTGTACATGGAGCTACACAGAGTTTCAGTAAAATTAATGGGAGAAGGTCAAGTAGAACCCACTGGTCTAGTTAACAATGAATGACCCTAATGTAAAAACAATATGTGACAGATTATATGACAAAGCTGAGGTTAAACTAAAACATATAAAGTGCAGCTAATTAACAAATGAGAGATTTGTCAACATATTTGGTTGAAAATACACTCTTAAGAGACAAATGAAGTAAGAACACTAATGGAGAAAATATGGCTTTGTTTGTCAAGAATAAATGTAGCAAGATGCTGGATAAGGTGGTATTTGTTGTTGGGAATACAATTTACAGTGAAGAATTGCTGAATTTATATAATAAAGACAACAGTTCAATGCTTCTTTTCACAATATGGTTTTCTGACAATGTCTCGCGATTACTGCATTTGATGCAGTACTTTTGCACTCCACTTTTAACACCTTTCAATGAAGTCTGCCTTACTTTTATCCTTTTACATTATAATAACCAGTTCATAAGTGGTTTTTAGAGGTAAAAGCTTTATCCCTATTTCAACATCATTCCAAATTCTCTTTCCTCCTACATGTCCTCTTAACCCTTTCACTGTCTAGTGTAGATCTACATCGAGGCCAATGTCACTCGTGTGGATTTAAGTCTAAATCATAGTGCCCTCAAATACTGTATATAGTGCCCTCAGAATACTGTATATAAATATATAAAAAAAAAATCTTGCCTGTTATGTGATCAGAATATACATGTACATATACTATATAAAAAAAAATTCCAGCCTGTTATGTTCCCACCACTGATACACAAATTGAGTGATTTCTCACATCTGTTCCTATAACAGAAGAACACTAACATAGTTTGTTAGGTCATAAAGCTTAGCTTTTTAGCTCTGAAACTGAAGTCGGATGGTATTAAGTGAAGTCAAGAGTTTTCTAGTCATCAGCATCATTTTTGGTCACTTGATAAAATATAACCACGAGTTATTTAACATAATTTAGGTCCATTTTAGGTCAGATTATATCAGGTTAGTGCTTGCCAATAATTTTACTTAATATACATATATGGGAGAACTCTCTGCCAGTAAGAAAAATTTGATTTGACCAATCCATGACTTGGTTACATTGACAAGATTGCTGGCATTCTTCTGAGTATCATAATTTAGTAGGAACCTATATAACTGCTGCAAATACCTGTTCAACTGAACTATCAATTTCTTGTGCACATGAAATAGTTCTTGTTACATGTTTGAAGGCAGAATGAGCTCGAAACCTTGGTGGCCAAGTTTTCAAGTTATGGTACCTATGGGTTGCCACAGAATTTTCGTACAAAATTTTTTATATGCCCTAAACACAAATCATTACCCTTCATCATAAATGTCCATCATAAAAAAGTTTGACAGTTCTAGTGGAAACCATATCTTTACAGTGATGGCCACTGATCCTTTATTTTCAAACCTAACCAAGTAAATTAATATGATAAGTGAACAAGTTTAAACAAGGCAAATATCACAACCTGCAACAAAGTCAATTAACTGAATCAGCACCCATGAAAACCGACGTTGAGTTGCAAAGGCATTGTACACCTGATTTGGATATGCCAGTCTGAACCACAATAGAACTTTACATGAAATATTGTAAAATGTGCGTACCATGCTGAAAATAGGTGCCCGTGGAGTTGTACTATGAAAGTTATAATAGTACTTACCTTCCCCTAGCAGAGTTGTTGTCATTGCCCTCTCGCACCTTGCTTGCCTGAGGCCTGATGTTTTTGGGCTTTTTTGCCCGTTTCTTCTTAGCGACTGCTGCAACTGGAAGAAACATTGGATAGTTACCATCTCCACGACTCCCAAATACCTATACCCACACGTATTTCCATAGCATAAATGGTACTTACTGCGGCGATTCATTTCGGGCTTGGTGCTCATTTTCACTGGCAGGGTCCTCAGTCACCACTGCTCACACCACCAACAGATGCCACTCACAACACTAAGTGAGGCTGGATATGCGCAACTCTCTATACTTCTCTTCTCTTTTACTCAACCTATAATTCCATACTGAAACGAGAATCGAGGAGATAATTTAAGTCGTGAGAGCGACGAGCCGGAAAAAAAAGGAGGCCGAAATTCGAAGATGTCATAAGGTGGGAATTGTTACAGCCGGACACACGCGCGATTATCGATGTAACTTCATAGGAAAAAATGGGGATTATGTGATCAATAATAGGCTTACAGATCTGTCAAGAATATATCAAATAACAACTTCGTTTGCCTTATTTATTGACTGGAGGTGTTTAGAGGTAGTATAAGGAATATTAAAATGATGGAGGGTTGGATCAGCTGTTCACCATAACAAGAGGAGCGGCGGTGGAGGCAGCAGCAATGAGACAATGCAAGATTAACACACTTTACTCCCAATAATGTCAAGTACCCGGTATTCCGCAAGGGTTCCCGGTCTCCGTCAGCATGGTCGACATCACCTCATGCAGAAGCTGCACTTCAGAGAGGTGAGGCTTGAATGATAGCTGAGAAGTGTAGTATAAATTAAGAGCTGCTTCCTCTAGTGTCGTACTCATGGTCATGGCCACCATAGTCCGCACCAACACTTTACTACCTTTTAACTTTATTATTCCGTTTGCGTTTTAATGGGAAGTGTCACTCTTCTTACAGAATTAATTCTTTTTGTTTCAGATATACATGATTGATGGCGTGTGTCTCCTTTTATCACTATTAAAATTGCATTGAACGGATAGCGTCCTTGCTCAGATAAAATGTGAAGCATATATTCTGTCCTCTTGTACCCTTATCATAAAGAAATTGTGATAACATTTATTAGAGACCTTATTGGATAAAGTAATGATACCAGTATAATGTTCGTTAGATGCTAAAAACTGTCAGATAATCATTAGATAAATCGAGGCATGATTATGTTCATGCTCATTAGTGTTTATTAACATTAACCACTTAAGTGTACTTAATAATAGTAATAATAATGATAACACTCATAACGATTATAATTTATACAGGTACATGATACAATTAATATAGACCTAGCTGACATGATTTCCAGTCTATATATAGAGCCCCTGGTTATGCAGAACATTTTGGGCAACTTAGGTTAGTTTTGCCCCATAAGATGTGACCCAAGACAGACAGTTAGCTAACACCTAGGTACCTACTTACTGCTAAGTTAACAGGAACAACTGGTAAGGAAATATGCTCAACGTTTCCATTAATTCATGCTACCAATGAGTCACAAATACCCTCACAGTTTGGCATTGTTCACTTTAATGCTTTTCAGTCATATACAAAATTTTGTGAAAATTCTGTAAGTTCCTATTAATGTATAAATTGTATACAGTATTACACAAGGGCAGAACTTTTGCGCTGAAGCAAGAACTTCATATACCATAGTAATGTACTGTATTATAGTAACAACGTTTTACAGTTACACAAGATAATATAAATTCTTGTAGTGTTCAAAAATGTTTATTCTAGATACAGTACACCCAACTGAAAACCAAAAAATGCAAAGATGATGATATGCCTGATGGGAGAGTATTAAAGGATCCCCAGTGGAAATAAGAGTAAGAGTGGATTTGTTGGATTATCCTGAGTTACTTACCCTCTGGGTTGATAATCCAGCTAAGATCTTCAATTATTATTTGTATACTCCATCTCTGCCTTTTGTTTTTAAACTTGGACTATTAATGATGAATATTTATTTTTCTTAACGATCATTATTATTAAATTTCAGTTATATGGAGAAACAAGACAAACTCGCTCTAGACCAAGACAGAGGCTGTTTTATCAGCTTCCTCACCGCTTGGCCTTTTCTTTGGCACAGGTGGCTCCTAAATCTGCTCTGGCTGCAGGGTTAGTGCACTATTTTTTTTATAATTTATGTTGTTCCCTTTTTTATAAACTTAATTTCTTTTATATACAGTATATTTTATAATCTATTAATGAATTTGTTTACAAAAAATGTGTGTAACCATGTCATATGATTTAATATGTCAACAAGAAACAACTGTTATATTAATATGTAATTTCACTACAGTGACTGGAAATTAAATTCCAAGTTCTTGCATGATCTCTGTATCTCATTATCAAGAAATAAACAGTAGGGCCATACTTATTCGGCAGGTTAAGTTCCAGGCTACTGCCGGAAAGCAGACTTCGCCGGAAAGCAGAAGTCCATTTTTTCCATTTATAAATGCATATAAATGCCAGATAACAAGTTTAACATATATTAAGTTAGCAATAGAACTAGGCATTAAAAAGGTGAGTTTCATTTGTGTGAAGTAAAGTTGGGAAGTATGGGTAGCCAGGAAGGGCAGCCCTCCCAACCCCACCCACACATAATGTAAACAAACCAGATGAATGCATCTGGTTTTCATCACAAGTCCTACAAATTGCCTGGCTACCACAAGTGCTATGAGTTGCCCGGCTACCACAAGTCCTACAAGTCGCCTGGCTACCACAAGTCCTACAAGTCCCCTGGCTACCACATCTCATATATTTTTTTTTTTTTCCTCAACAAGTCAGCTGTCTCCCACCGAGGCAGGGTGACCCAAAGAGAAAGAAAATCCCCAAAAAGACAATACTTTCATCATCATTCAACACTTTCACCTCACTCACACATAATCACTGTTTTTGCAGAGGTGCCCAGAATACAACAGTTTAGAAGTATATACGTATAAAAATACACAATACTATATCTCTCCAAACTGCCAATATCCCAAACTCTTCCTTTAGAGTGCAGGCATTGTACTTCCCATTTCCAGGACTCGAGTCCGGTTATATAAAATAACCGGTTTCCCTGAATCCCTTCACTAAATATTACCCTGCTCGCACTCCAACAAATCGTCGGGTCCCAAATGCCATTTGTCTCCATTCACGCCCATCTAACACGCTCAAGCACGCTTGCTGGAAGTCCAAACCCCTCGCAGACAACACATCCTTTACCCCTTCCCTCCAACCTTTTTGAGGACGACCCCTACCTCGCCTTCCTTCCCCTACAGATTTATATGCTCTCCATGTCATTCTATTTTGATCCATTCTCTCTAAATGACCAAACCACCTCAACAAACCCTCTTCAGCCCTCTGACTAATACTTTTAATAACTCCACACCTTCTCCTAATTTCCACACTCCGAATTATCTGCATAATATTTACACCACACATTACCTTTAGACAGGACATCTCCACTGCCTCCAACCGCCTCCTCGCTGCAGCATTTACAACCCAAGCTTCACACCCATATAAGAGTGTTGGTACTACTATACTTTCATACATTCCCTTCTTTGCCTCCATAGACAACATTTTTTGCCTCCACATATACCTCAATGCACCACTCACCTTTTTTTCCTTCATCAATTCTATGATTGACCTCATCCTTCATAAATCCATCCGCTGACACGTCAACTCCCAAATATCTGAAAACATTCACTTCTTCCATGCTCCTCCTCCCCAATTTGATATCAAATTTTTCTTTATCTAAATCATTTGATACTCTCATCACCTTACTCTTTTTCTGTGTTCACTTTCAACTTTCTATCTTTACACACATCCCAAATTCGTCCACTAACCTTTTCAATTTTTCTTTAGAATCTCCCATAAGCACAGTATCATCAGCAAAAAGTAACTGTGTCACTTCCCATTTTGCATTTAATTCCCCATAATTTAATCCCACCCCTCTCCCAAACACCCTAGCATTTACTTCTTTTACAACCCCATCTATAAATATATTAAACAACCATGGTGACATTACACATCCCTGTCTAAGACCTACTTTTACCGGGAAGTAGTCTCCCTCTCTTCTACACACTCTAACCTGAGCCTCGCTATCCTCATAAAAACTCTTTACAGCATTTAGTAACTTACCACCTATTCCATGCACTTGCAACATCTGCCACATTGCTCCCCTATCCACTCTATCATATGCCTTTTCTAAAACCATAAATGCAATAAAAACTTCCCTACCTTTATCTAAATACTGCTCACATATATGCTTCAATGTAAACACTTGATCTACACATTCCCTACCCACTCTATATTTTTTTTTTTTTTCAACAAGTCGGCCGTCTCCCACCAAGGCAGGGTGACCCAAAAAAGAAAGAAAATCCCCAAAAAGAAAATACTTTCATCATCATTCAACACTTTCACCACACTCACACATTATCACTGTTTTTGCAGAGGTGCTCAGAATACAACAGTTTAGAACAGTGGTTCCCAAACTTTTTCAGCTTGTTACCCAATTTAACATGCCACATAAGGCATGTTACCCCTTTCACAAAATGTTGTTATTATTGATATATATGGCTAAACGTGAACGTATACAGCCTCGCATACTCTGCTAATCCTAGCAAAACCATTGAAAACGTAAGAACCACACATACATTATATATAAAATTAATAATAGCTACAAATTCACAGTAACAGTGGGTAAATACTAACTATATACTGCACAGGGCAGTACACATACATACCAGCTTATGTCTACCTCGGCTGATGCTCACAGATAAACTGACAGTGTGAAATAGAGGCAGCCTCAGGAAGTGAGTGACGCGTACTGGACAGGTCGATCTGGGCTACTGAGTGACTTTTGTCCTGAAGCATACTTGTCAAAATACTTTTGGGTTTCCACACACTTAGCTATATATTTCTTCTTTTCTAATACTGTATATTAGTTTTTGATGTTTATTGTTATTTGGTTTAACTTTATTACTTACTTATAATAGGTTTACTTTACAACTTTATATACTAAGACAAAGTTAACAATAATCCTCATACCTGGTACAGCATTGTTTTCTTGATTTTCAGAATTCATAACTTTTTTTCTGTCACCCCTCCATTACCCCCCAAAAATGGTTAAATTACCCCCAGGGGGTAATTTACCCCCAGTTTGGGAACCACTGGTTTAGAAGCATACACATATAAAGATGCACAACATATCCCTCCAAACTGCCAATATCCCAAACCCCTCCTTTAAAGTGCAGGCATTGTACCTCCCATTTCCAGGACTCAAGTCCGACTATATGAAAATAACCGGTTTCCCTGAATCCCTTCACTAAATATTACCCTGCTCACACTCCACAGATCGTCAGGTCCCAAGTACCATTCGTCTCCATTCATTCCTATCAAACACGCTCATGCACGCTTGCTGGAAGTCCAAGCCCCTTGCCCACAAAACCTCCTTTACCCCCTCTCTCCAACCCTTTCGAGGACGACCCCTACCCCGCCTTCCTTCCCCTATAGATTTATATGCTTTCCATGTCATTCTACTTTGATCCATTCTCTCTAAATGACCAAACCACCTCAACAACCCCTCTTCTGCTCTCTGACTAATACTTTTATTAACTCCACACCTTTTCCTAATTTCCACACTCCGAATTTTCTGCATAATATTTACACCACACATTGCCCTTAAACAGGTACGTAGTCCGCCTGGGCTACATACCTACACCTACCTACATAGCTACACGATATTTAATGTGGCCCAGAGCCATATTATTACCATTGACATACCATGCTCACTGAGTTTAATCGTTTATAACAGCTACCTTTAGATGCCATCATAAACAAAGGGAGAAGTAATGAATAATTCAAGCCGAGAATTGTAAACAAAGCATTATGTATTAAGGGGAGTGATATAATGTTTTCCCTCCTCCCGGCTACCACACCTCCCTAGTACTAACATAAACAAAATGTTTATATACTATGTAACGTGTTTCTTATATAATTTTGAAGAAAATATCATAGATTGATTTATGAAAATGTATATGTTGACGTAAAATTAGACATTTTACCCTTAAACTGTCCAAACGTAGATCTACGTTTTTTTCAACATTTGAAGGTATGTAAAAAAAATAGGTCTTTTTGTTTTTTTACATTTGAAAACGTGTAAAAAACTTTGATCTACTTTTTTTTTTGTTATACATGTTAAAAAAAAAATGTATTTGAAAATATGTAAAAAACGTAGATCTACTTTTGGAGCACTACACATGTGAACATAGATCTGTTTGGACAGTTTAAGGGTTAATGTGCCCAAGAGTGATTACGTATTATTACATAATAGAGAGATATGCTCATGGAGAATGTAAAAAAAATTGGGTGGCCCGCACCGTATTTGAAAGACCACTTGCCGTATAGAAAGTTTTGGTCATAATTTGAGATTGCCGTATTAGCGAAATGCCAAAAAGTGCGGCCCTACTGTACTACTTTAATGTGATTGAGAGAGAAATATAATATTGGGAATTTAATTGCCATTCACTGTGGTTACATTGAAACCATATTACATGTTTGGATTCAGATGATGTCTATTTTTCTGAACACTAATGTTAAACCTATAAATTTAGAGGGAGGAAAATTGGAGAGAGGTTTGTCGAAATGCCTTGTAACTCGACTATGTAATGCTCTACTGGCTGTTTTCAAGATGTGTTGTTTAGTAGATTATATACATTTACATAGAGTATAAGAGAAAACCTGTTGTTCACATGCTTACATTTAAAACCTTCATTCATATTTTATAACATGTGTAAGTTATGGATACTACAGTATAACATACAGATACTTAATATAATGTGCATGATTTATAAATATACAGAGGTTTAGCCCTTTTTTTTATTATAATAAATTTACAGAAAAAGCTTTAATATAAACAGTTGATAATAAGGTCTCTGGATGAAAAATTTGCCACTCCCCCTTTGTCACTCCATGAATACCCATTTGTAGTCCTTATTTAAGGTAAGTACATCTTAAATAACATTGGAAATGAATATTGTGACATATAGGTAACTGATGTGTGTGGTATATAGAATATATAAATATAAAATGTAAAAGGGGCTAAATAAACAGCTAATTTATGTGCTTTAGAAGGAAGAATGATTTTACAACTTCTTGTAAGAAAGAAGTTTCTGTCCCAAGATAAGCTAGTAGAAGGTTATACCTCCAACGCTTCTTGTGCTGAATGAAACTAGTGTGGTGTGATAAATTATATAATCTGATTGGGGTGTATTCACACTTGTGGAAAGATAGCAGTTGAATGAATCATGGTGAATGTGTGTTTTCCTTTGGGACACCCTGCGTTGGCAGAAGGCCATTGAATTAGAAAAAATAAAATATATTTTTGTACTTCATTTTTTGTATATGACTATGCAAACAGGTTTAATCATAAATAATTTTTACTGTTGCTACATATCCGTACCATTTCATCATTAAACCTAACATGCATTTTCTTTTCTTAATAGACATGTTTTCTTGGGATTCACAAAGTGTGGCCAGTTTGTCCTGTCATATACTCATTCTTGTGATACAGATGACCACACATTGCAGATGATACACAGGTGGGTAAGGTATCCCATCATTGTATACTAACAAATTTTAACTTGTGAATAGTTTTTCCTGTTTGCTTGTATGTGAATATTAATGTGTGGAGTTGGAATGAGCTTTGAGAATGATTGATTTAACCCTTTCAGGGTCTACAGGCCCTCTCCTAGACTTGTTCTCAGGGTCAACAAATTTTCCAAAAAAAAAAAAAAAAAAAAAATTCTTATGAAAAGATAGAGAATCTTTTCCCGATCATGAAGACACCAAAAGTATGAAATTTGATGGAAAACTTACGGAATTATGCTCTCGCGAAGTTAGCGGTCTCAACTATGTTTACGCATCGGCAATTTTGCCCACTTTGAGCCCTATTTTCGGCCAATTCCAGTGTACTAGTCAACAAAAATCATAACTATTTCGCTAGAACTCCATTTTTCCTATCGAATGAGTACAAGAAACCACCCATTTACCTATTTCAACTATCCAGTAAAGTGGTCAGAATTTACCAATTTTGCCAATTTCACACAAATTTCAAAAGATGCCAATTTCCAAATAGCGTCCAGAATAAACAAGAAGACATTCCTGGCACTAAAATAACAGTTCCTCTGTTCATTAGTCATGTCCCCACGCCCCTCTTACATCAGCGCACTTGTGAAAGAATATTAGACTCGCCAGTTGACGTGTATTGGACGCATAGCATGATTTGTTTACTTTTGAACTTTGGCAAAAATCAAAGATTTCTGCTACTTTGAGCTCAATTTCAAGGTACTTTTCATTGTAAAACCAATCAAAATCATCTCAATTTCTGTAATATGTCTTCCATTCTATAAAATGAGACCAGGAAAACTAGAATACCATCATAAATACCATACGCAAATACAGTGCAAAGTCGCTGTTTTAAACCAAAAACACTGTCAAAGTTTTTTTTTTCTCTTTACACACTGTGTGCTGCAGGATTTTTTTTATACTGCACACACTGACCACATAGACCCATTCTTTCATATGTGGGCCTACCAGCTTTCTCTCACTAAATTTGAGGGCGCTAGAATTTAGGCATACTAGTACGTCAAAAACCCTGGTGCGTAAGCCGTACTAGTACATCAGAAACCCTGAAAGGGTTAATGGGTATGCATAAGAGTTGATGAGATTAAGGATATATTTAATGAAACTAAAGTATTGCAGGGGACAAGGTAGATATGTGGTACCATGTATGATTTGGAGAGAAGAAAGTTTGTGTTAAACTAACAAGTATCATAATTTGTTTGAGTATCAATATTTTGGAGATGAGAGTGGTGGAGTGGGAATTTGTACAAGTGCTCTGGAACACATACACAACCTTAGAACAAAGGATACTATCATGCAGACTATGCTGATGGCTCCTTGAACCCTGATAGTGGTAGGACAAGGAGTGCTGTTATCATGAACCAGCCTGATGGTACTGTAATACAGAGGTTTATCAGTATTAGAATTAACAATTGGACTTCCACCTTAGAAACTAAGCTGTTTGCCATTCTTGTTGCTCATAAACTTGTAGAAATTGTGGCCACATGCAGTTTAATTGTACCTGACTCTTTCCTCATTATACTTATGTACAGTGGACCCCCGGTTAATGATATTTTCTCATTCCAGAAGTATGTTCAGATGCCAGTACTGACCGAATTTGTTCCCATAAGGAATATTGTGAAGTAGATTAGTCCATTTCAGACCCCCAAACATACACGTACAAACGCACTTACATAAATACACTTACATAATTGGTCGCATTGGGAGGTGATCGTTAAGCGGGGGTCCACTGTACTTGCTTTAAATAGCCTGAGGCCTGAATGTTTCAAGCTTGTGTATGGAGCCAGGCACAAATATACACAAATTTTTAAGAAAGGGCCTCCAGGAGCAAGACAGAGTTGATGAATAAGTTAAATAAACATTAAATAATGTTTAATGTATTTTTGTTTTTTTCAAGCAGAAGTTTATGAAACGTTGTCAGAAAGGAACAATGCAAATAAGAACTAGTAGATCTGGTATCCATCATAAGGAAATGTGTCAAGTTAAACATAGTGTTGTCACTGCTAGACTTAGGCTAGGCTATAAGTATCTCTGGCAGTACAGTTTGTATGGAGATGTCACTGACATAATATGCAAAGTGTGTGGACAGAGACAGGCCATACACTGCAACATTATGTCTTAGTGTTTTCAAATATCCAACCTCTCAGAGATCCCTCCATGTAAACCTTACAGGATATGACAAAACATCTCATTGTTAATGATAACACAGTATATTCAAAATATTGAGGTTGTATCTACATTTCTCATTGATTAGATGAATGAACAGCTTTTATAAAGGAAATTGCTACCCAATTATGACTAGTTTTGTAGTAGTAATAAGATTTGTTTATTTGAGATTGTATTCCATACTCTATTGTGTACATTAAGTTTATGAAGTAATTGTAAAACGTGAAATGACTAATGTTTCTTTCTACTGATGTAACAGTGCTCAGTATGATCTGTCAAAGAACCATTGTGATCTCTGTAATCCTTATTTTTTGGCACTTCAGCTCACAGGATGAGCATGAGGTGCAGAATAAACTAGTCCCTTAGCCAGCACAACTAAAACACTTGGGTTGAGAATAAGTCAGGCAATGGGTTTGGCAGTGCAATGAAAAACCCTGCTTAGGAATAGATGGTGATTGGTATTCTTAGTGATCGTTCCACTATAACTGAAGGGTGTGAACCAATAGTGTCATAAATATGAGGAATCCTAGGAGGTTGGTAGACAGCAACTGCCCAGGAAGGTACTACCGTCCTGCCAAGTGAGTGTAAAACGAAAATCTGTATTTGTTTTACATGATGGTAGGATTGCTGGTGTCTTTTGTCTGTCTCATAAATATGCAAGATTTCAGGTACATCTTGCTACTTCTACTTGCACTTAGGTCACACTATACATACATATACAAGCATATATATACACACACCCCTCTGGGTTTTCTTCTATTTTCTTTCTAGTTCTTGTTCTTGTTTATTTCCTCTTATCTCCATGGGGATGCGGAACAGAATTCTTCCTCCGTAAGCCATGCGTGTCATAAGAGACAACTAAAATGCCGGGAGCAAGGGGCTAGTAACCCCTTCTCCTGTATATATTACTAAATGTAAAAGGAGAAACTTTCGCTTTTCCTTTTTGGCCACCCTGCCTCGGTGGGATACGGCCGGTGTGTTGAAACAAAGAAAGAGGTATGAGGAATCCTGGGTAGTAGGTTGGTAGACAGCAACTGCCCAGGGAGGTACTACTGTCCTGCCAAGTGAGTGTAAAACAAAAGCCTGTATTTGTTTTACATGATGGTAGGATTGCTGGTGTCTTTTGTCTGTCTCATAAGCATGCAAGATTTCAGGTACGTCTTGCTACTTCTACTTACACTTAGGTCACACTACACATACATGTACAAGCATATATATACACACACACACTCCTCTGGGTTTTCTTCTATTTTTTTACTAGTTCTTGTTCTTGTTTATTTACTCTTATCTCCATGGGGAAGTGGAACAGAATTCTTCCTCCGTAACCCATGCATCTTGTAAGAAGCGGCAACTAAAATGCCAGGAGCAGGGGGGGTTAGCAACCCCTTCTCCTGTATACATTACTAAAATTAAAAAGAGAAACTTTTGTTTTTCTTTTTGGGTCACCCTGCCTTGGTGGGATATAGCTGGTTTGTAAAAAGTAGTAGTAGTATAAGAAATGATTGTTTAATGTATATTTATATATGGCTGCAAGAGAAGTAAATGCTAGGGCATTGGTGAGAGGTGGGGGATTAAAAGATGATGGATCTGATTCAAAGTGAGAATTGTCACAGTTGCTCTTGTGTGGATGACAGAGAAAATGCACAGTGATAAAAGTAAGAAAAAGTATAGTCAGTGAAAGCTTGAATACCAGAATGGAGGTAGTACCGATATTTTGGAGTGAACATGTTGGCAGGTGGGGCTGTAAAAAACAAGGAAACATGGAATAGATACGGGGGGGAAAAGATAGTTAATGTGTTGAGGCATCTGAGGAAAGAAACCACAGTACGGGCGAGGATTGAACTCACTGTGAGTGAGTCGTAAAACTCCAGACAAATGTTAGCCACTGGGCCAGCTGCCTACTTTAAGACTCGTCCAGCTAGATATATTTATACACCATAGGAAGGTTAGCATAGGCACCACTGTGCCCGTTCCGTGGTTTGCTTGCAATTGTGTTATTACGATTTCTTGAGTCCTGAGGAAAGAAAGGTTTATGTCATGGCAGAAAAAAAAAATCAAGAGTACACTAAATTGATATTAGTTTTGAACATTACAGGAAGGAGGGTGGAGGCAGTGAAGATGTCTGGTTTCAAAGCAGTGTGTGGTGTATTTATTATTCAGAGGATTCAGGATGTAGAAAGTAGAAAACAGATGCTTCAGTGAACCAATGTCTGCAATAAACATTGATAAATAAGTTTAAAGTGTGATTTACCCAGTGGATTTTTTGTTATTTCAAAAGTCTGTTATATCAAGGCCCTTCATATGCAGGCTGATAATGATATAATTATTTTTTTTAATTTCTTAACAGATATAGACTGCACTGGTGGGTGTTTGTTCCATATGCTCCATTACGGAAAGTTGCAGAGGTAATGCTCTTTGGTGACCAGGATTTGCAGGAAAGCTTATATGAAAATATCTTCATTTCTTTATGTCAGTGGCCAAGAGATTTGTCCAAAATCCTAGTATATGGTTGCAGGTAAGAGTAGCACCAAAGCTTTCTTATTAGAGGAGAAATGTTACTAAAACTACACTGTTATTGCACTTATTTCTGAATAACATGTCTTTACTGTACTACAGTGACTAGAAAGTAGCAGTCCATCTTACATGAGCAATACTTTGTGCTTTAAATACTGTTCATCTCTTCATCTTTAGTTCACTAAAAGTATTGTAATGTTGTGTAGGATATATGAGAGTTGCTGAATAAGACACATGGGTAACACCTAGGTCTCTTTTGATGGAGATGTTTTGCCAACCAGTGGCTTTTCAGTCTAATAGAGGAATTCTGGAGATGGTGGAAATAGAGGTAATTTGAGGTGATCAATCCCTCGGCTTTGATAAATCTGAAGCAGAAGCATGAAGAAAATGACCTGAGCCTGAGTTTGGCCTGAAGTAGGCAAGAGTTGAAGATGCCCTCTGGTATAGAGGATATCTTCAACTCTCATCTACTGCTGACTCAACTTTTGGGCATAATCTTCTTCCACAAATGAGTTCTGTCCACTTGTGATGTCTTCGATTGCTGCGGCTTTCCTCTGGCTTGAATAAACAAGTCTCCATCTTGTTTATACTTCAGATTTATCAAGGCTGAGGGACTAATTACCTTCTAGGACCTCTCCACTTTCTTCCACTCTCTCCAGTATTTAACCCCCTGTATTGGACTTCGAAAGCCATTGGTTGGCAAAAATCTCCATCCATAATGATATCCAGGTATTACTATTATATACCATTAGTGTAATAATTGCTTTGCTAAAATTACAATACAACCTAGCCAGGTCACCATCTGGAAAAGACCCGGGCTGGGACAGGACCGGCGAACCTACAACAACAACACAACCTACTCTAACCTTTCTTGCTGGAAAATGTCCTTCAGCTCTGACAAAATATATGTAAACTGTATACACAACCCACATATTGAAAATAAAAATTAGACTATGCTTTGGTTGGCCCTTGACCATTGTCAAGCACAACTTGATATTCAGCCCATTATTATTTTACAACAAACTTTATGCAGTGCCCAACATCACTCTTAATGTTTCCTATTTTTCCAAATGTTTTCTTTATTTTAAATTAAGCTAATTTAGATTAGGTTACAATAGCCTATGAAAATGTGTTTAATTACATGTGAGCAAATTACAAAAGAGAATCATGATAAGTCTGGTAATGAGTTGGCTGAGGAAAAATAGGGAAAACTGAATTCTGAATAAGTACTTCTCTTCGGTGAAAGATGGGCTGTCATATTGGTCACTGACAGGTCAGAATGTTGTCCAGTTTGTTGACTGTGAATTGTTACAGCCATATTATGACTTATTATTCAAACAGTATGTTGTCTGTGGCTCCTCTTATGTTTTAATTTTTCTAATTATTTTTTTTTTATTAATCTCATTATTTTCATGACATTTCAGTATGATTGAGGGTAATGATGGAGGCAGCTCTCAAACCCGCACTTGTTATATTACTATTACTGCAGTTCCTTCTCTTGATAACTGCTCTGCCTGCTATCAAGTGGCCACTTCATATGAAGAAGACGGTAAGAATATAAGCTTTATCTGTTAATGATAACTAGGTTTTGTGACTGATGTGGCTGTAAGCATTAAATGCAGTATTTTCAAATTCAACAATCAGTGCCATATTTTCAGATCTGGCAGAGCGCTGGAATAGCTGTGTGCGATTTAGCTGTCTTAAGCATGGTATTACCGTTCATACCAGTTTTGAAATGGTTCCGCCCTTCCCCAAGTTCCTCCCAAATGTACAAATGAAACGGAAGGGATTTGTTGTGCTCAATGCTGGTAATTTTATTCATGTACTGAATGTTGATTTAGAAAACATGGATAGAAAAATGAAAGAAGTAGAAACAGAAGTATTAGGTGTAAAACTAAACAATATTGGTGAGGAGAGAGAGGAAGAGGAGGAAAGTGATGATGATAGGGAACAGAATAAAGTAAAAACCAGAAGTGTGTCTGGTGAGCAGTATTGTGTGCCTAATGTGAGGTCTGGTAAAGAATACACTATGATGGATAGTTCCAGTAGTGATGTTGATCCTGAGGCTGATGGCCAAAGTAGCTGTGAGGAGGAAGAAGGAGCTCGATTAGAGAAATATCAAAACGGTACTGAATTAGGAGCAAATGGACTGAGGATAACACTGAGCAGTGGAGTTAGGTTAGGGTGTAATAGCTCAATGACTGACAGAGACAGAGAATGGGAAATTTTAATAGGAAATGTGCCCTCAAGAAGTGAAGGAAGGACTAGAAATGAAGATAATAGTAGAACTCATGGTGATTGTGGAGGTAGCCAGAGAAACAATACTGCTGATGAACAGGGTGTTTCTCATTATTGTGACATTGAAAACTGTGATAACAAAAGTCATGGGAGTCTTGGTGGACTACAGAACAATGAAGCTGCCATGCGAGGTGTTGCCCGCAATCTCACGCTCAAAGAATTTCAGTTGCCTGATGATTCCCCTTATAATTTTTATGGTGATAATGACGGTTTTCGTGATGATGACTCTGATGACTCCACGAGGTGTTCACACATTAGTGAAGAGTCTCGTTTAGGCCGCTCTGATCTCAGGGACAGTATAAACAATGGTGATAAATTTAGATCTGGAACAACTTTTTGTGCAAACCTTTCATTAGCTGATGATTTTCCCATTAATTCTCAGTATTCACAACAAGGTAGAAGAGTTCTCCGAAGTTCAAGTGAAAGTTCCTATGGTGAAAAAACTCCAACTAAACAGGCTGAGAAGGAATACGAATTTATTGATGAAATAACCGAGTCACGTCATGAAAAGCTTAGTGTCTTTCGTCGCAGGCGTCTTGCTGACAAGAAATATGAGTTTTCTGATGAAAATATGGAAAATGTCCCTCAAAAATACAGCAGCTATAGAAGCCAAAGTCGTAGGTTACTGATGAGCCCGTCACGTTCTCCAAGATTTCGCTCAATAGGTGTTCCACTGTCCGAGCTCTCAATAGAGCTGGGTGAATCATCTGGACTCCTCAGATCAGTATTATATGAAAAGCTTCTAAGCCCAAACTCTGGCAGTGGGTCACCTAATGATGTACTTCGACCCATCAACCAGAATATCACCAGTCCTGTCCTTTCGCCACGAGATGACCGATGGAGAGACGAGATTGATCGGTTGGAAAAGGTAAACTTAAAAATTAAAAAACATCATATTGCATCTACTCTTCTATTCACATACTATTTCATCAGACCTTTGTACACTTTTTTTTTTTTTTTAACTTTATGCTCACTGTCTTTGTCCAGGTCACTTAATTTATTTTTGGGATATAGTAGCAATTTTATCATACCATATAAAATGCCATTGTTTATTTAATTACTTTACTATATTAATTACATTTCAGTTATACTTCTGTTACTGTTTCCTTTGGTGATCATGTTACACTTTTGCCTTTGCATTTTTTTTTTAAGCCTACCTCTAATAAATTCTTAGAATGCATGATAAATAATTTTTCTTAAATCTTAAATATGCTACCCTGTAAATTCATTAGTATAAAGATTTATGTGCAAATGTCTTTAAAATTATATTAAATACCTCACAGCATGGGATGTTATAAATAAAATGCTACATAAGAATATGTATTTTACTGAGAAATAGTACTGAGAAAATCAACTTCAGTGGTGTGATCAGCTTTGTTTTATTTTTTAATGATTTGTGTATACTTTTTCAATTGCCTTTATCTGCTAATGTCATTAATCCAGGGGTTTAGGCATTTGATGCAGTGTTTGGATCTTGCACATAGCAAATTTGTCAAGCACACATGGCAGCTACACAGTTAAAAATTTTGTGTGAAACAAACTTATGACAACTGTGAATAATAAATAATATACAGAGACTTCCCTACATGCGAGCATTCGTGTTGTGAACTTTAGATGATACGAAAGCTTTGCCCCGAGGTCAAAAATTTGAGTGTAAGATTTAGTTCCGTCCGCCACGTGGTGGTGGCGGCAATGTAGCAAGGGAAGTGCCAAGATGAAAACAATACATAGTAGGTTACTATCCCCTACTTACAAACCTGTTTGTAAGTATGGAAAAGACTGTAACCACCTGAAATGTAGCCTTCAGCCAACTCAGTTTATCTGTGGTATACTGGGTGTGAAGGTCATTGATGCATGTGAGGATGGTAAGAAGACATGTATGCAGTGATATATGGAATCTCTACTGATGATGATTTGTCTAGGTAGTGAGCTTTATGAAGTTACTTGATAAAGTGTACTACATGGAGAAAACATCATGTCTCTCCTGACCATCATGTTGGTATCTTGTACCATTACATACCCATGTACATGAGAAGTTTTGAAATCCTATATCTGACTATCAGGCTGTTCATATAGGCATGAAAACTCATGAAGTTTCACCACAAACCCCATAGGCACGGAAAAAGAACAACATACTTTGTACAATTTTTCTAGTCATAAAAAAATAAGCACTTTTTGAAAAATGTAATATTTTAAGTCGGCCTAGGAAAGGTTGGAGGGAGGGGGTAAAGGAGGTTTTGTGTGCGAGGGGCTTGGACTTCCAGCAGGCATGCATGAGCGTGTTTGATAGGAGTGAATGGAGACAAATGGTTTTTAATACTTGACGTGCTGTTGGAGTGTAAGCAAAGTAACATTTATGAAGGGGTTCAGGGAAACTGGCAGGCCGGACTTGAGTCCTGGAGATGGGAAGTACAGTGCCTGCACTCTGAAGGAGGGGTGTTAATGTTGCAGTTTAAAAACTGTAGTGTAAAGCACCCTTCTGGCAAGACAGTGATGGAGTGAATGATGGTGAAAGTTTTTCTTTTTCGGGCCACCCTGCCTTGGTGGGAATCGACCAGTGTGATAATAAAATAAAAAAAATAATATTTTAAGTGTTTCACATATATTTGTTGACAGTTTATGCATTTTTTATGGAAATACAATAACATTTCATACAGACTTTAACTATGAGTAACATTAATGAAATTGCACAGAAATTTATAAGATGATGAGTGAAACACACAATAACAGTTCTGATCTTAATAAATAAATCTAAAAGTTTTAAGGCACCAGACATAATAACTAATCATATTAAAAGTCCTTGTGTGTATGAAAACAACTACCGTAAATCCTCATTTTAACCCTTTCAGGGTTGGTGCCGTACTAGTACGGCTTGCACGCCAGGGTTGGTGCCGTACTAGAACGCATAAATTCTAGCACCTTCAAATCTAGCGAGAGAGAGCTGGTAGGCCTACATATGAAAGAATGGGTCTATGTGGTCAGTGTGCGTGGTATAAAAAAAATCCTGCAGCACACGGTGCATAATGAGAAAAAAAACTCCGACCCTGTTTTTGGTTTAAAACAGCGACTTTGCAGTGTATTTTCGTATGCTATTTACGTTGTATTCTAGTTTTCCTGGTCTCATTTTATAGAATGGAAGACATATTATGGAAATTGAGATGATTTTGATTGGTTTCACAATGAAAAAAAAGTACCTTGAAATTGAGCTCAAAGTAGCAGAAATGTTCGATTTTTGCCAAAGTTCAAAGGTAAACAAATCATGCCACGTGTCCAATACACATCTACTGGTGAGTGTAATATTCTTTCACAAGTGCCCTGATATTATTTATACCATTTCTACGCCGTTTCTACACGAATGCAGCAGTCTGCATAACATAAATCGTCTAATTTTTGTGAGAACAAAAATTCAAAGTGGAAAACAAAAGAAATGTAACAGAGGCCTGGGGACATGAGTAATGAACAGAGGAAATGTTATTTTAGTGCCAGAAATGTCTGTCTTGTTTATTCTGGACCCTATTTGGAAATTGGCATATTTTGAAATTTGTGTGAAATTGGCAAAATTGCCAATTTCTGACTACGTTATTTGATAGTGGAAATTGGTAAATAGGTGGTTTCTTGTACTCATTCGATAGAAAATATGGAGTTCTAGCGAAATAGGTATGGTCGAAAATAGGGCTCAAATTGGGCGAAACCACCGATGTATAAACATCGTTGAGACCGCTAACTTCACGAGAGCATAACTCTGTAAGTTTTCCATCAAATTTCATACTTTTGGTGTCATTATGATTGGGAAAAGATTCTCTATCATTTCATAAGATTTTTTTTTTTTTTTTTCCCCGAAAAATTTCCGACCCTGAGAACAAGTTTAGGAGAGGCTCTGCCAACCCTGAAAGGGTTAATAAACTTACAAAATGTAGGACAAAATCAGTGGGTCTGTTGATTTAGAAACAATAGGCACAATCCATTGGTCACAGAATTAGCAGTTATTAGTACAATCACAGCAAAACAATAATCTCTCTCCACCCCATTCATCATTACCAGTTAACTACTACTCATATTAATCCATTACAATGAGCTTCTAGAATATATCAAAATGCAGCAAAAAAAAAAATTTAAATTAAAAAATTCATACTCAAAATTTAATTCAAGCATTCCACATCATCATCAGCATACCCTACTCAGATATCTGCAGAATCCAGTCCCCGAAAAAATACACATGCGTACATGTTGGGAGAGACATGCAAGAAGAGGGAGAGAGCTACAGAGAAAGAAAGAGAGAAAAATAATGGGAAATAGAGAGAAACACCATCTGTCAGTTTCATATGTGTTAAAGATAAATCTGCTAGTTTCATATTTGCCAAAGGCAGCAGACAAGTTTCAACATTGGAGTGAGGGGGTATCACCAGATTACTTCACAATACATCTACAAAACAATGTTTTTCTTTCTACCTCCTGACCTCATTAGCTAATTGATTTTTGGGCTTTCATACCCTTATTAGCAGCTATTGCTGCATTATGAGTTGTATCTACATTTATTTTTCTTCTCTCTTTCAACAAATCAGCTCTTTCCCACCGAGGCAGGGTGGCCCAAAAAGAAAAACAAAAGTTTCTCTTTTTTAACTTAAGTAATGTATACAGGAGAAGGGGTTACTAGGCCCTTGCTCCCAGCATTTTAGTCTACTCTTACTACACGCATGGCTTACGGAGGAAGAATTCTCTTCTGCTTCCCCATGGAGATAAGAGGAAATAAGAACAAGAACTAGTAAGAAAATAGAAGAAAACCCAGAGGGGTGTGTATATAATATATGCTTGTACATGTATGTGTAGTGTAACCTAAGTGTACGTAGAAGTAACAAGACATGCCTGAAATCTTGCATGTATATGAGACAGAAAAAAGACTTCAGCAATCCTACTATCATGTAAAACAATTACAGGCTTTCGTTTTACACTCACTTGGCAGGACGGTACCTCCCTGGGTGGTTGCTGTTTACCAACCTACTTCCTAGGTATCTATATATATATATATATATTTTTTTTTTTTTTTTTTTTTTTTTTTTTTTTTTTTTTTTTTTTTTTTTTTTTTTTTTTTTTTTTTTTTTTTTAAGCAAGTCGGCCGTCTCCCACCGAGGCAGGGCGATCCAAAAAGTAAGAAAATCCCCAAAAAGAAAATACTTTCATCATCATTCAACACTTTCACTTCACACATAATCACTGTTTTTGCAGAGGTGCTCAGAACACGACAGTTTAGAAGCATATACGTATAAAGATACACAACATATCCCTCCAAACTGCTAATATCCTGAACCCCTCCTTTAGAGTGCAGGCATTGAACTTCCCATTTCCAGGACTCGAGTCCGGCTATATAAAAATAACCGGTTTCCCTGAAACCCTTCACTAAATATTACCCTGCTCACACTCCAACAGATCATCAGGTCCCAAATACCATTCGTCTCCATTCACTCCTATCGAACACACTCATGCACGCCTACTGGAAGTCCAAGCCCCTCGTCCACAAAACCTCCCTTACCCCTTTCTTCCAACCTTTTCGAGGACGACCCCTACCCCGCCTTCCTTCCCCTACAGATTTATACGCTCTCCATGTCATTCTACTTTGATCCCTTCTCTAAATGATCAAACCACCTCAACAACCCCTCTTCAGCCCACTGACTAATACTTTTATTAACTCCACACCTTCTCCTAATTTCCACTCTCCAAATTTTCTGCATAATATTTACACCACACATTGCCCTTAGACAGACATCTCCACTGCCTCCAACCGCCTCCCTTGCTGCTCATTCACAATCCAAGCTTCACACCATATAAGAGTGTTGGTACTACTATACTTTCATACATTCCCTTCTTTGCCTC